GGTCTTCGCGTGGCAGCAGGGGAGCCGGAACGAGAGCCTCGCCGCGTGCGCCTCCGCAGATTCCGAAGGATTGAATCTTATAGTAACAGAATAAAAATGAATAGAATATAGTATAGGCTATGGTATGCAGTTTGTAGTATACTGTATAAGATAGTATAGTACAGTATAATAGCAAGTAATGCGACGAAGGCTGTATCAAGGTGTTGAAGTTGAGGAAGCTCATAGCTTCTTCCGTAGACCCGGGTCGTTCACGACGTCAACTCTGAGTGCACACGAATAATCCTAGCTCCTAGACTCCAACGCTAATCGTGAGCAGTGTATTTTGTGGGCAAGCATGTTTTTAAATCACCCTCGGGATTAGCTATGTTCTGACAAGAACATATTGAAAACCGACGACAGCTAGTACGAGTGAGCACTTGACTCAAAATGATTCAGGCTTGTCTACGTGCACATGCGTATGCCTTTCTTCACAGATGCAGATGGTGTATGCGTGAGTGAACCTACATGCACTTTCACCTCGCCTCAGATGCTGCCGTGGCACATACAGCCCAAACGAGTGTGCACCAACTGACGTGATGTCGCATTCGGTGGGCTGTTGCCACATCTCCTCCGACTCTACCTTGCTAGACCCCGCCCCGTCGGGCCTAGCAAATGAGAAGGAAACAGAGGTGTGTTGATTGGAGTGATGAGGAAATGGGGGCGAGTGAGAGAAAGACAGAGAGAGAGAGAGAGAGAGAGAGAGGGAGAGTGGGGTCTTCTCTTGTGCTTCTCGGTCGTCTTGTTTCTGTTTGATATCCCCGATTGACACACGGCGTGCCTGCTACCTGTAGGGTCATACCCTACCCCTTTTTTTAAGGTATCTAGTTTTCTATATAAGAGAACCTAACCATAAAATTAGGTACCCTAAAGAGGGGTAGGCTACGACCCTTTAGCTACGGTTCTGGGGGTTGAGTCATGCCCGCGCCTCGATTTGGGCCTATCTTTGCGTTGTCTTGTTCTTTCGGGCTGCTGGCGGGTGAGCTGTGCGAAGATTTCATGTGTTTTGTAGCCCTAAACCCCAAACCCCCTAAACCCTAACCCCTAGTTCAGGTTTCTGAGTTGTCCGTCACTGCTTGTTCTCTCTCGCAACAACTCGCAACGAGAGCTGCTTGTTCTGGGCCAGGTTGATTGCTACAGTGCTGGCGGGATTGGTTTCGCTGCTGCGTCATCGACGAGCACTTTTCGATGAATCTCGATGACTCTTCATGAATCCTGCAGGACCTGTCCTTAGGTTCTAAACTCCTCATCCCTCGCAGGATGCCATCGTTTGTGAAGTAGGTCGCCGCGGACTTGCCCAGGTGTCTCTAAGTAGTTTTGACGTCTTTACGGTTTGCACATGGAACACGTTTCTGCGAGTTGGAAACATGACCTGTGCTGCACGGCTTGGGAATGAGAGGCTTGCAAAAAAACGTAGTGACGATTACAACGACCCCTGAATCCTGTGGCAGAGACACTGGGGATTTAGGGTTTGAAGCTGATACATGGGGGTTTCCGAAAATGGGGGACCCTAACACAGCACCCTAAATCCTAAATAGTAGAATCCTGACTATAAGGACCCCCAAATAAGGTACCCCTAATTTTTCGGAAACTCCCTTTTTAGATTTCAGGGATTGTATCTGAGGCTGGCGGTTTTCTTTGAAGCCATCGCTGACATGCTGAGGAAGCATTCGAGCACTTTGACGAGGTGACGATGGAGCTGGTTTCCGACTGAGACCGACCCTCTTCTCATGGTTAAGTTGCCTGTCTCATCGGGGGGGCCCTTGAAAAGCAAATGTGCCAAAGAAGAGGGGCAACAAGACCAACGCGAGACTCGAAACCCTAAGCCCGAAGTCAGCGGACTTGATGGAGTCATCGCCTTGTTTCACTGTGGCAAAGATCCACCTAAGCTTTGACAAGGTTCGGCCCGCTTTGGACACCCTATCTGGGCGCCCATCGGAGGAGAAATATAAGCAGCCGCGCCACACCGTTGAAGTGTGTTGAGCTTCAAAGGGCTTTTCCCTCTCTCGCAGACTATTTCGGGACGCAGGTCTTAGTCTTAGTCGCCCTTGCCGGCGAATCCTTGACCAGAGTTTTGGGTTGCTGTTAAACACAAGATCACAATGGTCTAGAAAAGTTAGTATGGTATAGTAGTGTTTAGGGTTTGCCCTCAACCCTAACCCCACGTGAGGAGATCAGACTGTCAGTGGCCTCAGGGTGTTCGCACTCATGTTCTCATCGTGGGGGCAGTGTCACAACTTGTCCTGATCGCTGGCTGAAGACCAGCAGGGTACATAACGACGCATTAAACACAACGACAGACGATGCACAACACCCATACGAGTTGTGTCAGAATGCGACGACGACGACGACGACGGTTTCTACGACCACCACCCCCACCACCACCACCACCACTACCACCGCTACCACCCCCACTACCACCACTACCACCACTACCACAACGACCACCACGACCACCACGACCACCACCACCACCACCCCCGCCGCCGCCGCCACCACCACCACCACCACCACCACCACTACCACCACCACTACCACCACTACCACCACTGCCACAACTACCACCACGACCACCACTACCACCACTGCCACCACTACCACCACTACCACCACTACCACTGTCGCCACGACAGCTACCCCTACCACTATCCCTACCCCGACGGCTCGGGGCGGTCGGGCGTGCGCGGGCGGGCCGGCGGTACAAGCACGACATACCACGAGAACGACTGCGGCCACCACCCCTGCTACTGCTATTGCTGCCGCTGCTGCTGCTGCTGCTACTACTACTACTACGACTACTACGACTACTACGACTACGACGACTACGACGACTACTACTACTACTACTACTACTACTACTACTACTACTACTACTACTACTACTACTACTACTACTAATATGATGCTACTACTACCACTACTGCTGCTGCTACTACATCTACCTACATCTACTACACCTACTTCAACTACTAGTACACTGCTACTGCTACTGCTGCTTCTGCTGCTGCTTCTTCTACTACTACGACTGCTACCACCACTGCCGCTACTACAACAACTACTACTTCCTACCACTACTACTACTACTACTACTACTACTACTACTACTACTACTACTACTACTACTACTACTACTACTACTACTACTGCTACTACTACTACTACTACTACTACTACTACTACTACTCCTACTACTACTACTACTACTGCTACTACTGCTACTACTACTACTACTACTACTACTACTACTACTACTACTACTACTACTACTACTACTACTACTACGGTGAGAATTTTAAAACATGTGGGGGGGCGGGCAACCCAAGATCCAAACAGAGGTAGTATGAGACACCTGTTTTAATCCGTATGTTTTAGCTCCGGGTGTTTACTTCCAGCCCTCCAGCCTTCCAGCCTGCCAACCCTGCAGCCTTCCAGCCCTCCAGCCTTCCAGCCCTCCAGCCTTCCAGCCCTCCAGCCTTCCAACCCTCCAGCCTTCCAGCCGTCCAGCCCTCCAGCCTTCCAGCCCTCCAGCCGTCCAGCCTTCCAGCCCTCCAGCCTACCAGCCTTTCAGCCCTCCCCTTCCAGCCTTCCAGCCCTCCAGCCTTCCCAGCCTCCAGCCTTCCAGCCTTCCAACCTTCCAGCCTTCCAGCCTTCGGCTGTTAGCCTTCCAGCCTTCCAGCCCCTCCAGCCCTCCAGCCTTCCAGCCCCTCCAGCCCTCCCCGGCTGGAGGGCTGGAGGGGCTGGAAGGCTGGCTGGATGGCAGGAGGGGTTGGAAGGCTGGAAGGCTGGAAGGCTGGAGGGCTGAAGGGCTGGGAAGAGGGCTGGAGAGGCGAAGGTTGGAGGACGGAGTCTGCGGGCTGGAGTCTCGTGTTGTTGTCTTTCCGTGTGTTTTAAAATTGGGCGGCCCAGAGACAATGCCCACGGAAGTAGTATGACACACCTGTTTAACTTGTTTAGATGTCCGGGTATTTAAAAATCATCGCCGTGTTACTACTACTACTACTACTACTACTACTACTACTACTACTACTACTACTACTACTACTACTACTACTACTACTACTACAACTACAACTACGATGACGACCACCACTACGTCTCTTACTACATCTACTGGAGCAACAACGAGAACAGCAGCAAGCAGCAGCAACGACAGCAACAACAACAACAACTACTACTACTGCTACTACTACTACTACTACTACTACTACTACTACTACTACTACTACTACTACTACTACTACTACTACTACTACTACTACTACTAATATTACTACTAGTACTACTACTGCTACTACTACTACTACGACGACTACTACTACGACTACGACTACGACGAGGACTACTACTACTACTACTACTACTACTACTACTACTACTACTACTACTACTACTACTACTACAACTACAACTACGATGACGACCACCACTACGTCTCTTACTACATCTACTGGAGCAACAACGAGAACAGCAGCAAGCAGCAGCAACGACAGCAACAACAACAACTACTACTACTACTACTACTACTACGACGACGACGCCGAAAACTACAATCCCTTTCCCCAAATATTGAACGGTAGGCGGGGCCCCTCCGCGAATGTTTTGATTATTGGTGCTCTTACTCCTGCTGTGGCTTTTGCTCCTGCTCTTGCTCCGGACCCCTAGTGATAATGCAAATTAGGTTTCAACGGGCAGGGATGATTTCGGGAGGGGGTGTTTAGTAAATTCGGGAGGGGATTAACTTTGTTGCTACGAGGTCGATGACGCACGGCAGTTTTTCCCAGAATCATTTGACAAGTTTCTTGAGCTTGCCGTTTGCTGCCCCCAGCTACACGTGCGCGGCCTTCCTGTTTAGCCACAAGGAAGCCATGGGATCGCGCATCCTCATAACCTTCATCGGAACCCGTGGTGACGCCCAGCCCTATATGGTCGCTGCGCAGTCTCTCCAGGCAGCCGGTTTCGAAGTCATGACTGCTGGCAACGAGGATGCAAGTAGCTTGGCAGAGAGTTTTAAGGTTCCTTTCCATGGCACCCAGATGAGTGCCCGAGAGATGATGACGAACGAGCTGCTAGTCGAGGCTTTCACAGAGCAGAGCATCTCAAAGATCGTGAAAGCCCAGCAGCAGATTTTTTCCGAGGGGAGGCGCAGACAAGAGCTGGAGAAGTGGCGCCAACTCCTGCGAGACTTTAAGCCGCAGCTAATCCTATCCGGGGGCGTGAGTCATTTTACTGTGCCGCCGATGGCGCGGGAGCTGTCGATCCCGGTCGTCTCCTTCGCTCTGCAACGCTGGAGACCAAGCCGCTTCTTGACGCCTTTCGGCATTCCAAAGACAAACCTGGGGCTCCTGAACCTTGCGTGCTGGAACTTGGTGCACTTACTCCTGATCCGAGATGCAAAGCATAGGGACGGGCCGGTCTTTTCGGAATTCTTCCAAAAGCCTGCGCAGGAGGTGGTAATGTCTAGTCACGAGTTGGATGATCTCATAAGCTACAAGGTTGCCTACCCCAGCATCATTGCTGAGAGTCACGCTCTCCATGGCGATTTCCCACCAGACTTCAACGAGAACAACATCCGGATCGGGCCGATGATTCCTGCAGCCTCTCAGCAACTGGGACCGGAGTTCGGATCGGTCGCAGAAGTTGGGGCCATGGAGGCGTTCCTGCAAAAGGGCGAGGCACCGGTGTATTTCGGGTACGGATCGATGATCTGCAAGAACTCGAAGTTTATGACTTTGCTGAGCCTCCGGGCCCTGCGTCTCACGGGTCTTCGTGGCATCTTCTGTGCGGCATGGTCCGAGATGTCACTGAGCCTCGTGGAGGGCGAAGCGGATGCCGAGGAGCTCCGAGATTTCTGCAAGGACCACGTGCTTTTCTTGAAGTTTGCACCGCATGGAGCCCTTTTCCCACGATGTCGAGTGGTCGTTCACCATGGAGGGGCTGGCACCACGAATGCGTCGGCTAGGTCCGGCATACCTACGATTGTCCTCCCTTTGTCCTTCGACCAGTTCGATCATGCAGACATGGTCAATCGGCGTGGCATCGGCATCGGTCTGAAGGTCATGCACAGCTTGGCACCCGAGGAGGTTGCACGAGCCATCTGCAAGTGTGCACAGACAGAGGCCATTCGCGACAGGGCCCGTGAGGTCAGCCTGGCTATGGAGAAGGAGAACGGTCCGGATGACCTCGTTCAGTTCGTGAAGGCCAGAATTACCTATGCTATTTGGGGATTTTCGGGGGGCTCCATATGACAATTGAAGTACAGCATACCCCGAACCCTATTCAAATGATTAGGAACCCCTACATTAGGCCTACATGAAGAACTTCGTGGACAATGGCCGGCACCTGAAGATCCAAGCCGATTTGCGCCGGCGACGCTCCGGTTGGTTCATCTGGTGTGCAGGATGGCTCCGATGGTGCTTACCATGCTGCTAATATAGGGGCCTAACTATTGCTTAGGGCTCCCTTTTGTGTGAAATTTTTGAGAGACCCCCAAAACAATAGTCTAAACAGTATTTATAATTACAAAGCCTCTATATGAGGGTGAGCCTCAGCTCACATGGCAGACTCGTAGTACAAGCCAGCTCGAACAGGGCTCTTTGTTTGGATCCTGATATTTTTCCCTGGGGTCAAAATAGCCCAAAAGCCTTATATGGTATGGTCCTTGGGCCCAAAAGCCTAAATATATGAGTCCTTAGATCCCGATAGGGTTTGTAGTTTTAGGACCAGGATTTCTTGATCAGATTCCTAAACTAGCCTTGGCTCTGAAGAGGCTCTGAGCACGGACGGCGATGCCATGTTCCGCACTAGAAATCGCATGCCTAAGGCGATGCCCAGACTGAAAAAGTGCCGCGGAAGTTAAGGGCCGCACCCCTAAAGCGTGGGGTTTAGAAGTTGCCGGCCTCACTCGCTGTTCTGTCCTCGCTTCTAAAACCTTTGCTACCTTCAGATTTCTAGGAGGGGGCTCAACTGCTCAGGCTCACGCAATGCACAATGGCCTTTGAGGCTACGTTTGTCGGCATGTTTGCATGTCATGCCGCCCGACTGGCCTCTGGCCCGATCTCGCTCTCAGGCGAGAAGTTGTGGGCTTCATGGAATCAATTAGTCATTACATCGTGTCAGACATCGCAGCCAGCAAGCCGCAACCCCACCGATCCAGCCAGACCATGCAACATCGAGTCCAAATCGCTTGACAAAGAACTTCCTTCGCGGATCTCCTAGGCGCACGCGTGGAGCTTAGATGGGTGGTTCCCGCGAATTTTACTGTGGTGCCTTGCGAAGCTCTTCAGTATGTTTCAGCTCGGGTAGAACAGGATGTCACCGCGATTGCTGTCCTGTCTTTAATTTCTTCTGCCACGAGACTGCCCCCGCACCCCCCTTAGAGGCTGCTGAAAGCCAGGTTTCTGCGTGTATGTTTCTGGGTCTTGGGGCGTAGTGTACAGGCTTTGCTTGAGTTCTCAAGGCTTGGGCATTCCAGCACTTTGTCGGGCTCTGGGTGTTTAGTGTATGTTCTCAGGGTTTCTACCTGTGTTTTGTGTGTCGAGTTTGGGCATCTGTGGTGTTTCAGCGTGCAAGATGTTCGGGCTGGCAGTGTTTCTCTAGGCTGAGAGGGTTGAGGGCTCAGGCTACACAGTTTTCTGGTCTTGGTCTTCGGGGTTCAGGTAGGATCCTAAGGGGTTCACCGAAGAGCGTTGCCGTGACGTGAACCCAAAGCAGACAAGCCAGTGTTGAGGGCTCAAACTGGAGGATCTAGGCTGGCAGTGTAAAAGTGTGTACCTGATAAGTTCTCCAACGCTCCCCGACACCTCCAAAACCCCCTGCGCCTTAATACACCACTCCAACGCTGAAGCCTCAACCGAAAGTCCGAAGCCGAGAAGGCCCTTCCATTCCGAAACGGTTTAGGGTTTTAGGGTTTAGGGTTTAGGCGTACACTCCAAGTCCGTGCTCAAAAAAAAGGGTTTTAGGGTGCTGCCCTGCGTAAGGCCCCTTAAGGATACAGAGCACGAAGCCCTGAACTTACAGAGCAAAGTAGAGTCCACCTTACCCGACGCCGGCCAACCTGGCAACGTGCTCCGTGCGCTTCAATATGACCAAAAGCCTATTCTAATCATTAATGACCTCCTACCTTTTTTCGGATTTGTATAAGCAAATCATAGTAGGGAACCTTGAAAAGGAAGGTTTTATAGGGTCCGGGTATGGTATGGGCCCTGTATCAAACCAGCTTGAGTGAAGCCTCTGAGGAGGCATGCCGCTGGGCCTGGTCGAGCGCGGGCACCACGAGAATCCGCGGTGCCTCCCGAAACGCCGAAAGAGTATTCAGATGTAGCATCTAAAGCCCCAAAAGTAGGTTATTCTACATACTTTTGGGGCTTAGGTAGGGGTTTCGAGTATAGGGTTCTATTGTCTTTCGGATTCAAAGTTTCCGGTTCTATAGTACGGTTTTTTTGGCGGTAGGGTTTCGGGTTTGGGGATGTTTAGGATCTGTAGGCATTGGGTATTCGCACCAGCGTTCTGGTTAGTTCTCCGGCAGTGCGTGACAGGCTTTGTAATTGTTTGTATAGGTCTTCGTGTGGCCATATTCACTCATTTTTTGCTTGGACACATCTCGCGAGATGTCTATCCAACTCGGCGTGAAATTCATGCCCTGCCGTCTCTGAGCTCTGCGTCAGAATTTCCCAGTTCATGCCAGCATGGACGGCACATGGACCACAGGGAAGACCCCAAACATGACCATGGTAAAGCTGATGTCAGTGCTCCATTGTGGCAGGTACGAATCCTTGGCGCTGCTCTTAGTTTGCATGCACTTAACGCCCTGGACGAGTCTTGTTCAGCACTTTCGAAGCATGCAGGGTATTTGCTGGGAGTCGTGCCCAACACCCTAAACACACCCTGAATGATTCCGCAAGCTGTCGTTCGAGTATGAGTCGAACCAGTCGTCGTGAAACCTTGCCTGCTTTGTCCGAGTGCCAGAGTCGAAACCACAGAACATCAAGAACCCTGCGCAAACCCAGACAGCCCAATACCCCTCATGTAGGGAATACAGCCTACATCATAAGATGAATCGCCTTATAATTTAAGGTATATTCCTTAATTAAGGGGTAATTATTGGGCTCTCTTGGAACCCGACATCTTCTACCACCTGGGATGGGTTTAGGGGAAACTGTAGGCATTCTCTGCGCAAAAGCAAAATAAGAACAAACTCCGCTCCGATCCAAGTTAGGTTAACGTACGCTACTACGCAAAAAAAACAACGAATCCTAAAACCTTGTGAGACCGCATGTTGGTGTTGAGACTTAACCATAAAACGAATCTTCTAGAATTTCAGCAGACCCCCAAGCCTGGCCTACGCCCAACTCGGAACCGACGAGGCTCATATCCGGCCAACCGTGGATTGTGGTCCGCCTAAGGTGGGCCATTGTTCAGGGGTAAGGGGTGCAGGTTTGGGTAATGATGGGGTATTTGGATGTGGTGTGTGTGTGTGTGTGTGTGTGTGTGTATGTGAGCGTCGTCGAGAGTCTGGCGCATGGCTTCGCGTAAAACTTAAGGAAAACGGTAGTCACCGGTAGTCATGCCAACGCCCCAGGGGTACCCACAAGTAAGCCATCCCGGAACCGCGGACATCCACATGTCGGCATAATTCACACATCCATACATTGAGTATCCACAGTCCACACCCGGCCCCACACCTAAATCCACGTTGAGTCCTCAACCCGAGCCTCTCTACCGTCAGCCTAAAGTTGCTGCGAACCCAGCATGTCCATGTGCTTGAAATCCTGAACCCGAATCCCGTCAAGACGAAAAACAGCCCCACCACCCTAAACCGCATACTCTGCCTGTCGTCGTACCCTGCCAATGAGGATGCACGCCGTTAGTAGCGTCGCGACGCTAGGCTCCTCATACCCTGGATGTTGGAGTGCTACACTGTTACATCATGTGCCCATGCAGCTGAACAAAATTGATATTGCGTCTCGCCTCCAACCGACTAAGCACCACTTGCATGTCCGAGAGTGCCTCCAGGCACTCGCCCGCCCACCACGACCGCCGGCCTCCTTCACTGCCACGTGCTCGGAGAGATCCAGAGCGCTCAACATGAGAGCCGAAAAGTTGATACAACTATTCTCTCTCAGCAGACCTTGCCAAACAAAAACAACTTTTTAATGTATCCTCCCAGTGTTAAGGCTCCTAGATTCTATACCGTCTTCAGTTTGAGTTTAGGGGCTTTCAGTGCTCAAAAGGTCGGCGGCGTGGACCTCGAACCCAGGGATGATAAACTTTGGGAGCCTGATTAAGAAACCTGGGGTCCTTATTAGGGCTCCTGCTCCTTACCTGAACTCACAGATGAGAAGCTTTGCTACTCTGGGAACCTGATTAAGAAACCTTGCGTCTTTATTAGGGTTCTTTATTCGAATTGAATCCGATATGTTGTGGGTTATAGGGCCGGGGTTTCTTAATCAGGTTCCTACTTTACCAAGGAAAGCTGTGTGCAGCATGAAGAAGAGCTTGCAGATTCCTGCCGTGATTAGGCCGTGAAGATCCCTGAAAAAAGCATTGGTATCGTCCTGGGGCCGAGAGAATTTTGTCATGAGCGTATAGAGTTTAAGAATTAGCATGAATGAACCATCGACGGTATGAGGTGCAAGGTCTTCACTTTTGACTAGCGCCCAGATCAGATCATGGTCGTCTGCATTCCTCCTCACCTTATCCGAATCCTCATTTTCTTTCGCCGTCGTCTTACTCATCTCCTTCGTCGAGCCATCGCCATCACCGCCACAGTCATAATCAGAATAGACTAGGCACGGCCAACTCCTTCACAGTCGGAACGGTAATTATGCAAATGCACGCCTGCGCGTTTTTGCTTGCATGGGTGTCACGAACTGCATGCCATGGCCAACATGGGAGTTTCCGAAAATTTGTGCGGGTGCCATATTTTGGGGTCCTTATGATAAGGATCCTACTAGGGTACTGCATTCGGTTCCCCTATTTTCGGAAAACCCACTTGATGCTTGTCGCTGTTCTTATCAGCAGCCGCCAACCTTCTTGTTTCAGGCTCCGGAGCCTGGGCCCTGAAACCATGTCGCCTCAAGCCCACAACCCTGAGCCCTGGACCTTAAACCCAACGAAGTATAGGAGTTCTAACTGTACATGCAGGCGGAAAAGAGCCCATAAACAAAAAAGACCCAAAGAAGTCCCCTGAACCCTAAAAGAACCCTGAACTCTAAATCTCTAGATCTTGTCTGGAGTTGCCCACGACGGTTCCGAGGTATAGTGTGGTCCCTTGAGTGGTTTGGTTTACGAAGAGGTTGGTAACGAGGAGCCCCAAGAAGGGACGACAGACCCTCCTTTGTCTGTTCTAGGAGACTCCACCGTCCTGTTATATAGTAGGGGCCTACATAATGACCATTACTATTTTAGGGGGGTCCTTATTAGATATATAAGGTATAGAACAATGAGCCCCAAAACACTATTCTAATTATCAAGGCCCCTATAGTCCCCTTGAGCTTTGAGCACACATGCGGGGAGTTCGGTCTGGCGACTCCTGGCCATGCGCCGGACTCAGCGTATCGAGGAGCTTCTTATTCCGGAAGCAAACGCAGCAAGTAGGATGAGTAGTTGCGTGGCATACATGGGAGTTTCCGAGAATTGGGGGGGGGTCCTTGTTTTGTGGTCCTTATAATCAGGATCCTGCTATTTAGGGTATTATATTAGGGTCCCCTATTTGCCGCAACTCCCACATGTCGTGCGGATTGCAGACGACAAGGGTTTTGTGACATCAGTACATGCAGCAGTGAGTGCTGCTTTTTTCTGCTCTGAGTCCCTTTCGCGGGACCTTTGACGAAAGCGAATTCCTTTGGCTGGCAGGACAAGGTGTGAAGGCTGACGTGGTCATGGATCTGCAGTCGATGCATTCGCTGAGCTGGAATACCTATCGGACTCTTAGCACAACAGCAAGGACGAAGTATTGTGGGTTTAGTAGAGTCTGGGTCATCATGCAATCAGCACTGCTAAACGCCGGAAAGGGGAGTCTTCGAGCCTGTGCAGCCACTGCCCTCGGAGCTCGTCATGTAGCGGATCTGAGTCTGCGGGAAGGTATGTCGGCGACTATCTGCATGACGCGGCTGTGATCCTCTTGTTGGGACATGTCTTCTGCAGGCACGCGATGGGTGTCCTTTCTTATTGTAGCTTGATTAAACCCGCCGAAACGTAGCAGCAATGCAAATTGGCATACTTCAAGCCTGAGGCTCCAACCCCTGAATGTCGCAGATCCTGGTAGGAATGTTAGAATAGCACTGCCCCAACACATGGATCTGTACCTGCCTTTGTTGTGCGAGCGTGCGATTCGAAACCACCATGTGTTGTGTGGGCTAGCACTTCCCGTACTTCGGTTGACGGTGATCCGAAGTTGAAGCGAGCTTTGGGTCCTTTGTTGCAGACCTCGCTGGGACATGTCCAAGTGTAAGCGCCGAAAACACCGAAACCACCAAACCCAAAACCCTAAATTGTCCGAGTGCGAGCGCGGAAACCCTGATCCCTAAACCCTAAACCCCTAAGCCAGTATCGCTGCAGACCTTGCCAGGCTTTGTCCGAGAGTGAGCGTCAAAAAAACCCCAAACCCCTAAACCCCCCTAAACCCCCCTAAACCCCAGCCTAGGACCCCAAAGCCCTAAAGCCTGGAACCCGAGACCCTCGCTCAGGCGATCTGTCGCGGGCTTCTCACGCCGAACGCAAAGCAGCTTTGGCTGAGAGATTTGCGCAAAGGAGCCCTTATAGAATTTTGGGTTTTGGGGGTATAGAATTTTGGGCTTTGGGGGCATAGAAATTTGTGTTTTGGGGGGTTAGGGGTTGAGGGTTTGGGGTTTAGGAAACCTTGTAGACACCAAAAGAAGAACCTGTATCGGAGCCCTTGCTTGCAAGAGCCTTGAGAGAGCCACGAAGCCTTATACTTTTGCTTTGTCTTTGGGCATCTGAGGACCTTGCAAATCCCCAGACCTACCAAACCCCGCCAGAAATCGAAAGTTTTGGGATGACACTGTCAGTTTCTAAACCCTAGAAGCCCCTAACCCCCTAAACCATCCTAAACCCTAAACCCTGGTCAGTCTTCCGGCCTCTTCCTTACAAGGTCTATATTTTGTGCTCTACATCGCACGGTACTTAGACCTGCTGGACCACAGCTGCTCAGCTCTGACATGGGAGTTGCCGAAAATTAGGGGTACCTTTTTTTGTGTCCTCTTAATGAGGATCCTACTACTTGGGGTACTATATTCGGAAAACCCACATGGAAAGGTGGCGCGTTCTTGGTTGGGTTTGGGGTTCAGGGGTGTCAGCCTCGGTCGAGATGATTGCGGGTCGTAGACTGGCTAGACTTGAGTCCAGTAGCAAAAGGGGCGTGGCACGGGTGGTGTCCCGGACACTGCTATTGCATGCCACTGCCTGCCAACCCCTCCGCAAAGCTTTATGCAGACCATCCGGTCCTTAATTGCAAGCGTAGCTATCGGGGGCTAACTCCTGAACCCACACCCCCACAAACCGCACACACTACCGTCTGCAAAGATCACTGCATCGACCTGTCAGCTTTCCCTTAAAGGTGCAGGTTTCCTTGAGTCCTGTTTGTGTGTGTGTGTGTGTGTTTGTGCGGTGTATGTATGCATGTAAGAGTTTACAAGTAGTTTACATAATTACGTACAAGCATGTGTATATGTATATGTATATATTATGCATAATAGGCTTGGCTTGGCGGTCGTGTGCACGAAGTTTTGGTGGTCTTGCGGCTTGAGGCAACATTTTATTCGCAAAGCCGACGTCTCAAAGCGCAAGAAGACAATGCAGGAGTTTCTTATAGGTCGTTAGCAGTAGGGTCCTTGTTGTAGGGACCCGAAGAAAGGTTTGGCCCCAATTGAAGAAGGCCCATTTGCCGAGCATGCTGCCGAGGCCAACACACGTATCTTGTGGCACACAAGCAGCTTGGATGCAGAGCGGGTAATGTAGAGGCCTCAATAATTACTATTTTGGGGGGTTCCGTATTGTAGGTATAGTATAATTGGCCCCAAAACCCTATTCTAACTATGAAGGCCCCCTATATTATGCCGCAAGCTTTATCTGATTTTGGGTTTCTGCTCAATGGATGTGTCCGGGCTACGTGAAGCGAGCCATGCACAGCCGTTTAGAGTTTGCAGTCAGCTTCTCCTTCAGGATTTCGTAGACTCCAAGCAAGGATTGCAGCAGCTTGCACATGCCCGGCGGCCTAAACCCTAAACCAGAAGGTTTCTGAAAGGCTCGAAGCTTGCTGCCGCACGATTTATGCCATCGATGGAAAGCCTGTTGGTCTCAGCTTTCGGCCAATCCTACGAGCCACGCTTGAAAGTTGAGGCCACCGCCGAAACAAGTTAAATCTAGAAGAACAAGTGCGAGAGTATTAGTGGGAAGGGTGGTCGTACGTAAGGTACCTATTTGGACAGTCGTGTTGCCAGTTATCAGCTTAGGTTGTTCTTCATTGGCACTGCAGCGGCTGCGCTCTGCGCATTTTGCCGTGTGGCTGATACCATGCTGGGAACTGCCCTGCAACCCCGCCTAATCAATAAAGGGGTCCAAATTTCTAAATAAAATGTCCAATGCTAGTTTGGCGGTTCTTTATTAAAGTTTTCGTCTCATATGCCCCAAAGTCCGATTCTACTTAGTAAGGCCCTTGTATTAGCCGGAGCCACGCCCTTCTAACAGGACGGGTTGCCTGCAAACGGCGCGGTCGGAGTTCCGTTTGTAGTGCAGCAAATCAAGCTCAATGCTGGACATGTGGAGGATTTGCTTTGCAGATTGCAGACTTAGGCTTTCCTGGAGAACTGTTCCCCAAACTGTTAAGCAGGTCCAGGAAGCATCGGCTTTTCAGGTGCGAAGTCATAGTCGCCGAAGTCGAAGTCACGGCCGGCTTTCTCTGCGCCGTCGTAAGCAGGTGGGGCTTTATCATTGGCGGGTCATGTCTCGAGATGTCGCCGTAGCTCACGCCCACCCGAACGTATACCAAGATCACCATCCGACCCTCACTATCTAATGTAGGGGCCTTAGAA